GTCATCCCGAAACCTTGCTTGTTATGGCTATCGCCGGGCTGAAACTGAACTCGATTTTTCGCTGGACATTGTGTCAGAATAAGCCAAACACCTTCTAGGAATTTCTTGCCCGAGCTCAACAACATATCATTGCCGAGGAAGCCATGTCGGTCCCTGATTTTAATTTCAATCTGAAGTCATCTAAGTCGGGAACCGACGAGAAAAAGAAAAACAAATTGTTCGACAAGCAAAGCAAGGCTCAATTTAGAGGATACCCCCGAAGAGACGCCAACGACCCTGAAATTAGAGCAGCTCGTAAACAATATGCAACCGATGTAAAATTCGGTTATCAAACCGTGTATTCAGCTGGAGCTGCCACCATATATGAAGAAATCAAAGGGAAAGGCATCCTGTCTGATCCCAAACCACTTCGGATGCCCGAGGAGAAATTGGACAAGTCTCGATATTGTGATTATCACAAATCACCAGGACACAACACAGATGAGTGTTTAAGTCTGTTAGCCGCCTTGTTGCGTTTAATCGGTCATCCACAACTCAGGAAGTTCTATCGCAATACTGATCCCCAAAAACGAGGGCCAGGACGTCAAATTGAACCTTATGATGAAGCCGAAGAGGAGGACCGAGGTGCCATGACGAAATGCATCCGACAAGGAGACAAGGAAGTATTTGTGTTCACTTCGGAAGCACCTGATTCCAACTCAATTGGAACCTCCCGGGGACGCAAGCGGAGCCGATCTCCTAGCCCGATGCAAATCACTGTCTATCTTGTAAACACCAACAACACCCGGAGTACCTTATCCCGTCGACAAATCAAGGCCTACGCCCGGCAAGCTTACAACTCCGGCAAACAAGTGTACACCACCGATCTGAGAGACATTCTCAATAACCGGAACTGTCCCATAACTTTCAATATGAAGGATGTTAACCATTTTGCACACCCTCACTCAGATGCAATTGTCATTACCGTCCCCATATGTGGAATCCCAGTACACCGCGTTATGGTTGACACTGGGGCCTATTCGAGCATTTTAATGTTAAAAGCTTTTGATAAAATGGGTCTTGATCCGGTGGATATCCGACCTTGTAACGATCAAATACAGGGGTTTAACAGAAGCATTTCGAAGCCCATCGGCAAAATCACCTTGCCTGTCAGATTTCGCACTTCCGAAAATGTCACCAAGCTTGTCATGGAAACTTTCAAAATTCTTGACATTAACAACGAGTATAACGCGATCATCGTAAGAACTGCTTTGTATAAACTCCGAGCCGCAGTTTCAATTTTTCACTATGCGTTGAAATTCCCGACGACACGAGGTGAAGGAACACATTTCGGAGATCAAAGAGAAGCTCGAGAACTCGTCACTTTCATACTGTCCACCGGAGTCTATTCCATCACTCCGGTCAATGAAGAAAATTCCCTACCACAAAACACCCAGACAACATGGTTCCCGGGAACTCGAACCGCGACGCCGTTGTTCCCCCCACCTTGGATCCTTTATCTAGAGACCGAGGTAGACGGCCTGGAAAAGAGCCACGCATAGAAGAGGATGAATTGGACCCAAGAACTCAGTATAAAGAAAAGAGTCGAAATGATCGAGCCGAGCCCGGAGAAGAAGTGGAGTTGATCTATATCGACGAACCAATCTTCCAAAAATCATTGCGCATTGGAAGGGCAAAATTTCAAAAAGTGATAATCACTTTTAGTCCACTATGTTGGCATTTGTACGAGTTTTGATTAAAAGTGACAATTTACTGGACCATTATTGATGACACCCCATATGATGGACCTTTTTCGGAAAATGGTCAACATAATGGACTAAAAATGAAATTTAGCCGCATTGGAAGCCATCTTCAAGAGCCTCTCCGGTCTGAACTCATCTTATTTCTCAAAAGTAATTCGGATGTTTTTGCTTGGAAACACGAAGATATGAAGGGCATCGACCCCGGCGTCGCTAGCCATAAGCTAAATCTTGACCGAACAGTCCGACCGGTTGTTCAAAAACGAAGAAAATTGGGACCGGATCGTCAGAAAGCATTGGAAGAGGAAGTCAAGAAACTCATCGACAACAAGTTCATTAAAGAAGCCAAGTATCCAACATGGGTCTCAAATCCCGTCCTCGTCAAGAAAAGCAATGGCCTTTGGAGGTTATGTATCGACTTTTCCGACCTGAACAAAGCGTGTCCGAAAGACAGTTACCCGCTTCCTCACATAGATAATATGGTTGATGCCACATCGGCACACGAGTTGATGAGCTTTATGGATGCCTACTCCGGTTATAACCAAATTTCTATGGATCCCGAAGATTCAGAACATACCTCGTTTTATTCGGCGCGGGGATTGTACTGCTATACCATGATGCCATTTGGATGAAAAAACGCTGGGGCCACGTATCAGCATCTTGTCAATAAGATGTTTGCCAATTTGATAGGTCATACCATGGAATTCTATGTAGACGACATGCTCGTCAAGTCAGTGCACGCTTCTGATCATATAACACACCTTCAGGACATGTTCAGTATCCTCCGATCTTATTCCATGGTTTTAAATCCTAAGAAGTGCACCTTCGGAGTTGAGTCCGGAAAATTTCTAGGCTATATGGTCAGCCAACGGGGAATCGAGGCCAACCTGGTCAAGATAAAAGCCATTCAAGGTTTAACTCCCCCGACCTCGGTCAAGGGTGTTCAGGCCCTAACTGACCGACTTGCAGCTCTTAATCGGTTCATCTCCAAGTCTACAGATCATTGCAAACCGTTTTTTGAAGCAATCAAAAAAGGGAAGCGCTTTGAGTGGACCGAAGAGTGTCAAAAAGCACTCACCAGCATTAAAGAAACTCTTGCTTCCCCTCCGACATTACAGAAACCGAAACCCGAGGAAATGCTGTTCTTGTACCTCGGAGTTAGTGATTCAGCGATTGGCGCCGTCTTGATACGTGAAGAGGGGATGTTACAATCACCTATTTATTATGTCAGCAAGGCCTTATATGATGCCGAACTACGCTATCCCCCTATGGAGAAGCTAGCGTTTGCACTCATTACTGCTGCTCGGAAATTGCGACCTTATTTCCAAGAACATTCCATAACTGTCCGTACTTCATATCCGCTATGGCAAGTCCTGCACCAGCCTGACACTTCGGGACGCATGATAAAATGGGCAGTTGAACTCGGACAATTCGACATCCATTACCAACCGAGGACCGCAATCAAGGCACAAGCCCTATCCGACTTCATCGCCGAATTCACCCCAGCTGTAGAAGTTCATGATGATAACCAACCATGGGTTCTTTACATCGACGGCTCTTCAACAGCAAACCAAGTAGGTGCGGGAATAGTCTTGGCTAATCCAGAAAACCGATTGTTCTGTCATTCGGTCAAATTTCTTTTTCCCGCTACCAACAACGAGGCTGAATATGAAGCTTTGCTATCCAGATTAAATTTAGCTGAATCCATGAACGTGAAGTATCTCAAAGTCTTTTCAGACTCCCAACTCCTCGTCAACCAGATCAATGGGTCGTATGAAGTCAAGGA